TTGCCTTAATTGCAGCTTTGGCGAGGTATGTTTAGTCTTTGATCAAATAGAGATGAGTTAAATAGAGCTTATAAAGCCTAAGCCAAATTCTTGGAATGTTTGTCTATTGATGTTTTTGTCTCCTTTTTTACGAGTACACTTGGGTGAACACATTTTTCCCAACAATCAGTTTGAGGAAATGAATTAGGAAGGCAGGATGTTTTGATGGCAGTTTAGGGGCCATATAAATTAATATGTTACGGTTTATCTAACCTTGAAGGGTATTGGTATACGGATGCATTTACTTCCGTGCTTGCATGTTTTAATATTGAAAATAGATAAACCATTACTTGAATTCTTTGGGCCTGTATTTTATCATGTCATGGTTATCGTGGATGGTTAATTGATATTTAGACAGAATCCAATAATATGGATTTTAACATTCAGGCAGTGAGCATTCTTTTGACATCTTTCCATCCTTTCTCTTTTAGTATATTGGAGATGTATCTTATTTGGAGTTTTAGATGCTGTGATTAGTGAGTTTTATATTTGTGCAGCCTTATGCAGGAGCCTTTTTGTTCAATACCATTGATATGGATTATTCAAGAAGATAGACTTTCAAGTCGCCTTCCAGTTTATGAGCAAATGGGTTGGGAGCATCTTGTTTCTCATTGGAGAAACGCTTTTAGCAGAGCCAGTGTTGTTGTGTTTCCAGATTTTACTTATCCGGTAAAGATGCTGTCACAAACATGCAACAGCATTAGAATGATAAAATCTATTCTCCATTAGGCTTGCCAAAAAGGTTTGGAAGCTATTGCTCATTTTTTTATGTTTTCTTGCACCAGATGTTATATAGTGGGCTTGATACTGGAAACTTCTTTGTGATTCCTGGATCACCAGTAGATGTGTGGGCTGCAGAAAGGTATCGTGAGACCCATGGAAAGGATCAGCTAAGGGAACTTAGTGGATTTGATAAATATGATATGGTGGTTCTAGTTGTTGGGAGCTCAGTCTTCTATGATGACCTATCTTGGGACTATGCTGTTGCAATGCATTCCATAGGGCCTCTGATGACAAAATATGCAAGGAGGAATGATGCAACTGAGTCATTTAAATTTGTTTTCTTATCCGGCAATTCTACTGATGGTTCAGACGACGCTTTACAGGTACTTTAAGGCCTACATATATTGTGTTGATTGATAGTGATAAAACATAAGACATTTCTAAGAAGTTAATTGATAAATAATTGAGTATTTACCTTCTATGATTTTCACTTGTCAGGAGGAATATATGTAAAAAAAATTATGAAAGCAGTTATATTAAGGAAGTTACTTTGCTGTCAAATTTGATTTTAATGGGTAACTACTTCACAGTATTTGTGGTACTTCTGGAATATGGCATGTGCTAAAAAATGCTCTTTTTTTATTGTAAAATAGCTTTGGATCTAGCCATGTAATTTTTCTGAAGAATGCACCACTTTTTTTTTATTTTTTATTTTTTATTTTTCATTTTTGTATTCTATTCTTGTATTTGTGGTAAAAAAAATGAAAATATTGGAGGAAGCTTGTCCAAAAGGTTGGGAATTTCTTTAGTGGTTAGGTGGAGGTATGCCAGGATATCAGTAAAAGAATGGGCAGGTTTGAAAAGAATATTTTAGTGAAGTGAAATAGTGATACTTGAAGGAGAAACAGAATTCTTGAAGACGAGGCTTTGGAATATGTTGTGGCAATCTCTGCTTTATTATATTTGACTTATCCTCAGTGACAATATCTGACATGAACAGATTCATATCAATATCTCAGCTTGAATTTGTTTTCTTTGAATTGCTTATTGATTTATTTGCCATTGATGTAGGAAGTTGCTTCACGTTTGGGACTTCATCAAGGTTCCGTACGGCATTATGGCTTGAATGGTGATGTGAATAGTGTGTTACTAATGGCTGATATCATCCTATATGGTTCTGCTCAGGAGGTGCAAGGTTTTCCTCCATTATTAATCAGAGCAATGACTTTTGAAATTCCTGTTATTGCACCTGATTTTCCAGTGTTAAAAAAATATGTAAGTTTGCTCTAGTTTTTTCTTTTCATATTCATTGATTTCTGAAACCATAACTAGTTTCCTTCATTTTATTTGAGCTTTTCTCAATTTTCAGATTGTGGATGGAGTACATGGGATATTTTTTCCCAAACAAAATCCTGAAGCTTTGATGACTGCTTTTTCACTTTTGATTTCAAATGGAAGACTTTCTAAATTTGCTAAAGCAATTGCATCATCTGGAAGGCGACTTGCAAAAAATGTATTATCTTTGGATTGCATAACTGGCTATGCAAGGCTTCTGGAGAATGTACTCAGTTTTCCCTCAGATGCTTTACTGCCTGGTCCTGTTTCTGAGATTCAACAGGGGTCATGGGAATGGAATTTATTACAGAATGAAATAAACCTAGGCATTAACTGGTTAAAAATGGATGGTGGTTTTTTCAACGGAAAAGTTTCTGTTGTTTATGATCTTGAGCATGAGTTGGGAGGTCTTAATTATTCAACTAGTGTCTTTGAGAATGAAACAGAGTTTTCAGAGCAAAATGAATTAACCCAATTGGATTGGGATGTTTTGAGAGAGATTGAAATATCCGAAGAGAATGAAATGTTTGAAACTGAAGAGGTATGGTGCAATCTTCTCTTTGACTGTCTCTGTTTCATCCGCTTGCAATTGATGATCAGTATATTTAGGGATAGCTGGTTCCATAAAGTCATTGTTTTCTGTTGTAGGTTGAAGAGAGAATGGAGAAAGATGTTGGTGTATGGGATAATATATATCGTAGCGCTAGAAAATCTGAGAAACTGAAGTTTGAAGTCAATGAGAGGGATGTAGGGGAGCTTGAGAGAACTGGACAACCTGTGTGCATTTATGAGATATACAATGGTGCAGGAGTGTGGCCACTTTTGCACCATGGCTCTCTCTATCGTGGGTTAAGCCTTGTGAGTATCTTTGTCCGTGAAAGACATTTAATCTCTTGTTCTCTTTTGGCCTTTTGTTTTCTTGGCCTCTTTTTCTTTTTTTTTTTTCTCTTTCTTTCAAGTTGGTGATATTTTGATATATTCTTTATCTTTATATTCAATTTTAGATTGCTTCTCTTGAATTTGAACCTCTTTTCCTTTATAAACTGATAGAAAAACATCTAGTATGCTATTAAGTTGACTGTGTAAGTTATCTGATGAAACTTTTTTATAATTTTTGCTCTATTTCTCTTTGGATGATCACTTGTTTGAATTTTATAAAAAGGTTTAGTTTGGTTAGTCTGAAGTAAAACTATTTGAAATAAGTTGACCCTTTTTCTGATGATAACGAAATATTATTTCTTGCAGTCTAGAAGAGGACAGAGACAAAGTTCTGATGATGTGGATGCAGTTGGTCGTTTGCCTCTTTTGAATGACACATATTATCAGGAGATTCTCTGCGAAATGGGAGGAATGTTTGCTATTGCAAATAGGGTGGATAACATTCACAGGAGGCCTTGGATTGGGTTTCAATCATGGCGTGCTGCTGGTAGGAAGGTATTTCTTTTGTTTGCAATAATTTACTCGTTCGAAGTATACTTAACCTTTTTTTATTATGAAGATCCAAGCTAAGTAGCTATCAGAATACATTGGTTACTCTTGAATTTAATTAGAAACTTTATATGTTCTTTTTTAGGTATGCATCAATTGATGCAAGTATTAAGTTTTATTTTGAGAAAATTGGGTACTCTTTTCCTTTTTGTTTAATATATATATATATATATATATATATATATTTGTGTGTGTGTGTGTAACTTTCCAGTACATGCGAAGGTCCTTTTGAAATTATTGGTTGATTGATACACACTTTTGTCAGAACAGGTAGCATTGTCAACGAAAGCTGAAAAGGTTCTGGAACAGAGAATGCAAGAGAATTCCAGAGGAGATGTAATATATTTTTGGGGACATTTAGACATGGATCGGATTATCATAGGAAACAACAATGCAATTTCTTTTTGGTACATGTGTGACATCTTAAATGGAGGCAATTGCAGGTATATAATGGAGAATATAACATCATAATATGCATTTTGTAAATTGATGTATTTCAGCGTGTGAAGAGTTTCAAGCATCCCCCTCGAACCCTGATCTTTCCTAAAGTTGCATCTAGTTTTATTTGGACTACTTACAGAATAAAATGTTTAGAATCACGTTGCTTCATTGGCATGATGCCCATGTGAAAAATAAGAGACTTGCTCTAAAACAAATATTTTTGGAGGTTCAAAACCAAAGTTTCTAGAAGTTGGACTTTGGATATTGTAACGCGTTTCAAACTCATCTGATATTATGCTTCTAATTGCACCAGAACTGTTTTTCAAGATGGCTTCCGCCAGATGTATGCATTGCCCCCTGATGTTGAAGCACTGCCCCCAATGCCTGAAGATGGTGGTTATTGGTCAGCACTGCACAGCTGGGTGATGCCAACCCCTTCTTTCTTAGAGTTCATAATGTTCTCTCGGTAATTAATTAATTGATATTAGCTTTCTTGGTAGTAGATTATTAGGGGTGCTTTATTTAAATGTGACTTGAAACCTGACATGTTGTCTATGGACTGCAGGATGTTTGTTGATTCCATTGATGCCCTGCGCAGAGACTCCAGTAAACATGGCTTGTGCTTGTTAGGGTCTTCGGAGATTGAGGTAATTTGTTTGCATTTGTTTTTAGGTTTCTTAGATTATTTGAATTTCTTACATTTGTTCTTTCGAAGCAGACGAAGCACTGCTACTGTCGAGTGTTGGAACTTCTAATCAATGTATGGGCTTATCATAGTGCACGAAGGATGGTATACATAAATCCTAACACTGGTTCTACGGAAGAGCAGCACCCAATTGAACAACGGAAGGGATTTATGTGGGTAAAATACTTCAATTTTTCACTGTTGAAGAGTATGGACGAAGATCTAGCCGAGGCTGCAGATGATGGTGATCACCCAAGGGACATGTGGTTGTGGCCAATGACAGGTGAGGTACACTGGCACGGGGTTTTTGAAAGGGAGAGGGAAGAAAGGTACAGGCTAAAAATGGATAAAAAAAGAAAAACAAAAGAGAAATTATTTGAAAGAATGAAGTATGGTTACAAGCAGAAATCACTTGGAAGATAAGAAATCTTCAAACTTGAAATTTACGCCTCCAAACAATTTGTGAATCCGTTTTTGCTTCAGTCAGGAAAATTGTCTTGCTAATCGGAGAGGCTTTGGTTCTAACATTGGCACAGATCACATCATAGGGACAATATTGTTTCTTTCTACATTAACTGAATACGTATACTCAACCCTCTGTCTCATAAAAGGGCGAGACAGAGAGCAAAGGAGTGTTCCATCTTCTGCTGTTAATTAATTTCCTGGCCTTTTTTCATGGTCAATTATAGCAGCATAGAAGATACAGGTAGTTCCCCTTCGACGTGTACTCATAGTCTATACAAATGCATTCATCAATTACACTTCATTTAGCTTAACTTTGTATTCTTTCATTATTGTATATTTGGTAAAACATTAGTGGCAATTTTGAGTAGAATAATGGCTGGGTTTTACGTGAATAGTTTGTATTATTATTGATTTTGTTGTTACTATTATTATTTATTATTGAGAAACAAAAGGCAGATAATTTTTACTCGGGCATATAAACATGCCATACGTGTTTATTTCTTCGGACCACTAGTTCAATTGTATTTTCTTATTTTAACCACATGTTGAATAATTTGTGCAATTTTCCACTATGTCGATCCGTGGGTTTCTTCTTTTCCGTATAACTTCTCTAGAATTAGAATTTATGAATGTATGGTAATTAAAAATACAAAACTTTCTGATTTAACAATGACAAGGGTTGGACCACACGTGTAACTGGGAATCAGTATTTGATATAAAGACAGACCTATAAAAGGAACTTGCTTCAAAAATGGAAAATTAAGATAAAAAAACGAGTGAGCAATATCTCATACTANAATTATTTGAAAGAATGAAGTATGGTTACAAGCAGAAATCACTTGGAAGATAAGAAATCTTCAAACTTGAAATTTACGCCTCCAAACAATTTGTGAATCCGTTTTTGCTTCAGTCAGGAAAATTGTCTTGCTAATCGGAGAGGCTTTGGTTCTAACATTGGCACAGATCACATCATAGGGACAATATTGTTTCTTTCTACATTAACTGAATACGTATACTCAACCCTCTGTCTCATAAAAGGGCGAGACAGAGAGCAAAGGAGTGTTCCATCTTCTGCTGTTAATTAATTTCCTGGCCTTTTTTCATGGTCAATTATAGCAGCATAGAAGATACAGGTAGTTCCCCTTCGACGTGTACTCATAGTCTATACAAATGCATTCATCAATTACACTTCATTTAGCTTAACTTTGTATTCTTTCATTATTGTATATTTGGTAAAACATTAGTGGCAATTTTGAGTAGAATAATGGCTGGGTTTTACGTGAATAGTTTGTATTATTATTGATTTTGTTGTTACTATTATTATTTATTATTGAGAAACAAAAGGCAGATAATTTTTACTCGGGCATATAAACATGCCATACGTGTTTATTTCTTCGGACCACTAGTTCAATTGTATTTTCTTATTTTAACCACATGTTGAATAATTTGTGCAATTTTCCACTATGTCGATCCGTGGGTTTCTTCTTTTCCGTATAACTTCTCTAGAATTAGAATTTATGAATGTATGGTAATTAAAAATACAAAACTTTCTGATTTAACAATGACAAGGGTTGGACCACACGTGTAACTGGGAATCAGTATTTGATATAAAGACAGACCTATAAAAGGAACTTGCTTCAAAAATGGAAAATTAAGATAAAAAAACGAGTGAGCAATATCTCATACTAGTAAAACAAAACACAAACAAATGTTTTGAAATGCTCCAAATTATCCATTATAGTTTTGTTTGAAATGAATCAGTGTCATCTAGTTTAATGGGATAGCTTTGGTAAGTAGTTAAAAATAACAAAACAAATATTCATTATCATGTAAAAATAAAACAGTCTCGACAGTAAACGAAGATTTCAAGTGTGAAATTTCCTTTTGTAAACAAAGAAATAATATCAGAAGAGTATGAAAATCAATTCACGTGCTACTGTTTTAATTTAATCCGTGTTAACAAGTTAATTTTGCATATCTTAATTCAACCATATTAAGTCTTAATTCTTTAAACTATAAGTTTAAACAAACATATTTTTACTTAATAAAATTGTAGTATTAAAACATAGTTATATCAATAGACTATAATTTTAACATATTCATATATAAAGAGGAGGTTAATTTTAAAATGTATTTATATATACTTTTTTTTTCTCAAAAATATATTTTTATTTATTTTCGTATAACTCGTTTCCAAAAGAGGTCGCAAAACTTACAAATATTAAAAGAAAACAGTCTCCCGCGCCCACACTTGGACCAATCGCTATCGCGACGTATTATTGAATATTGACACGATGCAGTTTGGCTCTTGAATGTTATGTTGCGATGCGAGTGAGTGAGTGAGTGAGTGAGTGAGTGAGGGTTTTACTACCTTCACACCTCATTACAAAACCCTCTTCTTCCGCAGTACAGTGCCCGTCCTTATCTCTTTCTCAATTTTTTTTTTTATTTCCCCAATTTCCACGCTTCTCTTTTCTCCTCTTTCTGCTTCTCATCTATTCCTCAACTCTAATTATCTTCACTGCATACGACCATTCTACTCATACAAGTTTTGCAAGGTACCACAAAATCTCTTTCTTTCATTTTCTTGGGTTGCTAACCTAACCACTATCAATTTCGGGGTGAATATAGCTGTAGGCCTCGGATCCTACTCCGGGCCCAATTACTTCTTGCTATTTTATGCTTGCCCGTTATCTCTTCACTTTTCCCATGTATTGAAGCTTTTTGTGATATTGAAATGTTTAGGAGTTTCTTTTGTTGTGCACCAGTGCCATTGAGTTTCGCTAGTGATGATATCTCTAAGCAGATTATCAAGTGTTATGTAATGTGTCTTTGAGTTGACTATCACTGCACGCAGGTTGAGATTCTTGAAGAGGTGCCAAACATGATGCATTCTGTAAGGGGTGGCCTGGGGCAAACGTTTGCGCTTGCTAAGCATAATGAATCGGAAGGGAGAAAGACTCGGATTCGGCGCTCCAAGGAGGAAAGAAAGGCAATGGTGGAATCCTTTATACAAAAGTAATTGCGTTTTAGTTTCATACTTTCACTTGACTACATATTCACTATCGTATTCAAATTTGGATTTGAAATTATCTCATCATTGTGCCTGCTTTTGTTTCACAGATTATTAATTTTGGTTGTTTAAAGATGTAATCTAATATATATTGTACTTGTTGTTTTCATCTTTACCCGCTGTTTAATTTTCTGACCTTAGCCAATATTTCGCTTATGCTTAGCATATACGTTTGTACACTCACTGGTAAATATTTTTCGTTTAGGATCTGTTTGGTTCGGAGGAAGAGAAATATTTTAATGCAAGGGAGGTGATGGTAGTGATTTTGATTAAAACATTCTGTCTGATTAAAAGGGGAGGCGTCTTGTTTGGTTAAAAAGGGATGGGGACAGGTTTTACAAATCAATTTACTCTTATATTCTTATCATTTTATATTTCAAAACATGATTAGATATATTTTTGTCAGTGCATTTCAAATTTTATAAATCCTCTTCCCTCTCATCCAAATTCCCCAATATTGGAGGGGAACAAACATTTGATTACCACCTTCCGTTCTCCTCTTGTCGTAAAAATTGAACCAAGCAGTGATACTTTATAGAAGTCCATTATCTCATCTCCATTTCACCCCCTGTTAAACACTATGTTGACGAGATCATTTAAAGGAATGGCCACTTTCTTGATACAAGCTTTGAATCCTGACTCATTATTTGAGTTACTTGTGTAACTACCAACCTGTCGATAGTGCAAATGTGATCCAAGAGCAGTAGTGTTGCTTATTATATTGGTATTTGATGTTTTCTTAGTGCCGATATGATTACTTTTGCGACATCTATTCTTGGGCACTTGTTGAATTGCCTATTTCTTAAACTTTTATTCACAGGTGAAACCTTTTTTGTATTTACGTATTCTTTCTGTTATTTGATATCAATCTAGTTCTAATTTTCTCATCCATCTTTCTACTTGTATCCAGATACCAAGATTCAAACAACGGAAACTTTCCATCACTTAATCTTACACATAAAGAAGTCGGTGGCTCTTTCTACACAGTACGGGAGATTGTACGTGATATAATTCAAGAAAATAGAGTGTTGGGTCCTGCTAAGTTCACTTTAGAAGATCTAAACACTGATAAATTTTTTGAACAAAATCCGCTGGGTTCAATTGCCAGAGTTCCCGAACCTTTTTCCACTGCATCTTCAATTGAAAATCATTGTGAGTCTGACAAGGTTCAGGATACAAATAAAACAATGATTTCTGTTTCTGATGGGTCGTATACTGAAGTTGTGGACAAGGTGGTTGACAAAGGGCACGTCATAAGTTTTGGTCACAAGGAACCTATTGAAGCGGTTGTTGCTGATGGGCGTGATACTAGAGCTGAGCATCAAGTGGTTGACCAAGAGCATACCATGAATGTTAGCCCCATAGGTGTTACGACCAATGAATCTGTTGAAATTTCTGTGGATGGATGTTGCACTGGAAATGAGTACAAATTTGTCGACAACGGGCATGTCTTAAATGATAGCCAGGTGAATATAGTGAGTAAGGAGTCAAATGAAATTGCTATTCTTGAGATGCAGTTAAATGATTCTTCTACACTCAAACAGAAAGTTGAACAAGAGTTGGCAGCTGCCAAAACACCAATGACCAAAGTAAATGCTGTGACAGAGGACTTAATAGTCGAGACATTTCCACTAACCCCTGGTTCCATGACTGCTGATGGAATAAGAAGTCCTGAAGGGTTGATGGACTCACGTAATTCACCAGAAACTGATATGAAAATGTTGGAATTGAGACAAGACGAGGAAAAGTCTGAATTAAATGGTATAGAGCCCTCGAAGAATTTCAATTTATTGGACAATAAATTTGAGGATGCCCCGGTAAATCAAATATTAAAGAACACCTCTAACACTGGGCTTGATAAGGAGGAGAGTGTAGGAGATATATCTGAAGAAAGCTCCAATCATTCTACCCACAAAGAACATTATGAATTTGAAGACCGCACTGATTCTCAAGTTGGAGTATCGCATAAAAATACCATAACCATCGACCAAAGCAAGAAAACGGATGAAATTATGGTATTTCTAAATCTATCACACTTATTGCACTACAGTCGTCTTCGATTATTTGGTATTTCTTTCTGTTTTGGGGAGGGGTGTGCAGTAATACGGTTTTGGTAAAATTGTGTTTTGCAGGCACAAAATTGGATACTATTTGTTATGTGTCAATTTTGTGTTTTCTCTTTCATCTTCAGCAACTGGATTAATTGGTTTGCATTTTCACTGAAAAGATTAAGACTCGCGGATCCCATAAATAATAAACAATAACTAGTAACTACTTTTCTGATACTTATTTGAGGGGAAATTTCAATGTAACCTTTAAATGTATTCTTACAGACAAACACTCAAACCAATAACCTCAGCAAGACATGTAAACCATCAGAGGAAGACGATGACCTGCTAAAAGCCGATAAACATAGAGTTGAAGGTCAACTTGGTGGCAACTCTCAGAGAAGCGGCACAACTGTGGATAGGATACATCTGTAAGTATATAGAAATTGATTTTATTTCAACTAATGTGCCTATTTTAACTCCATTCTATTATAGAAGTGAAATTGGTTTGGTTATTTACGAACATTTAATTGTACCTTTCTATGGTTTTCACTGCAGAGAATCCTGGGATGGAGCAGATAAGAATTCCGCAAAGCGAGAACCCAACCCTCTTTTAGCTGCTTGGAAAGTTTTTGTGGATGCTTTTGTAAAATTTTGGTCGGCATGATTAGTTAGTTTCTTTCTCTCCTGTTGCGTTATCGTCAGTGTTGTTCTTAACTATCAGAACAATTTTTGCGTAGAAGTGTGTTTAGATTTTAACTGAGCACTCAAGCTAGTTTCTATGGAATATATTGATATCATATTTGACTGTTTTTTTCAGTAGAATTCTTTTCAAAATTCACTTCGCTTAAAAAGTACAAGTTACTTTTTTTTTTTTACTTTGATTGAGTTTAACTTATTTTTTACAAATATAAATACTTATTAAATAATAGAAAGGATGGAGCTTTACGTTTTTTTAGCGTCCAATTTATTATATATTGTAATGGATTAAAACTATATCCAGAAAATTAAATAAGTGAGTTGGATTCATCTTTTACAAAAAGTTGAAATCATTGTTTTCAATCACTCTTGCTATATCAATCGAAATATTTGTGAATGTTAATAGAAAATCAAGTAATAATTTATATGACACTTATGGGTTTAGATTGAGGGAAAGAGAATAGAAAATAAAGGGAATTAAGTTTTTTTTTTCTTTTTTGGTAAAATTGATTGATGTTACAGAAAAATAAATCATGTTAGTTAAATAATACAATGAATTACAAAATTATCTTTAATTTAATTTTACTAAGAATACATATTAATCAAAATTAAAAGATAACTAATTATTAAGCAATTAATTCATAAATTAGAAATAATATTAATACATTATTTAAAATTTAAAATTGGAGTATATTTAAATAATTAATTGGAAATCATCTCCAATTTTTTTTTTCATGTACTAATTTAAAAATGTTAAAGTGAAAAAGAAAAAAATCAAATGAGAAAGGGCAATTACGTATTAAATTTGAAAGATGTGAAAATAATAATTTTATATTTTTAAAGGATGAAATTTAGAAAGAAAATTATTTTTAAGTTTTAGTAGGTGAAAACAAAATAAAATATCAAAACTTGTTTATTTTAGAGCAAAACCTTATTCATGGTTATTATAACAATTAAAAAAGTTAAAATATATAATTTAGAGTTATCTCTAACCTATTTAGAGTTAATTTTACACACTATTCTCTATCCTTTTAAATTAAATTGTAATCCTTTTTTTTTTTTTAAAGTTATCAAAATATATCTGCGCTTGTTTCGGACAAGTAGTTAATGTTAGCTTTCACATTCCACGACATTCAGTCTTGCTTTTTTCTTGTTTGGCATTAGATCCCAGGAATTGTGATCATGAGGCGTCTGAATTGGTTGCAGGCTGGACAAAGAAAAGTTCGACATTTATGTTCTCACAACTGGGTTGATGTTGTGGTCTTAGGAAGGTGTTATCTTCTAATACATTGTTATTTTGTAGGCCGTACGTAGCACAAAGTGAAGAACCTCGGAAGAATAGTTTTAAACGGAGAAAAGAGTTAAGTGTACGGAAGAAACGAAGCTAGGAAAGGGATTTGTGTAATTGATTTGTAACAATTTCTTTGGACACCGTTTCGTACTTTGTTACCTGGTAAATCTGATTCGTTCTTATTCCGTCTCATGGTCAATTAAATTAGCACCATTCCATTTCATAGTTTGATTGTAGATTCAAAATTCAATGTCTGACACCGTCTTCTTACCCCATGAAATCCTTACGGAAATCCTTCGCAGACTTCCGCCAAAGTCCCTTCTCAGATTCACCACCGTCTGCAAGTCATGGCGCTCTCTCATCACCCACCCATCCTTTATCTCTCTCCACCACCGTCACTCCTCCTCCGTTCTCCTCCTTCAGTTCAGCAACCGCTTCATCCTCCCCCACCGCCACCACCACCCCTCCACCACCCTCCGCCTCCCCTCCTTACTCCACCACGATTATTCCGTCGTTTCCTTCTGCAACGGCCTTGTTTGCGTCGCCTACGGTGAGCATTGCCAAACTGTCATCGTCTGCAACCCGTGTATTCGACGATTTGTCACCCTCCCCGCTCCCCTTCAGTACCCTTGCTACTACACTTCCAACGTTGCATTAGGCTTTGATTCCAGTAAATGTGATTACAAGGTGGTCAGGATTTCTTGCATGGTGGATTATTAGAAAGTGGGTTTTTAAGCCTAACTCAACCCCACAAAACCGGCTTGTAGGGTGAGGTTTGCACCTCACTTATATATTATAATTTGGCCTTATCTCTAGTCGATGTGGGACTTCCAACATGGATGATGAAAGGTTCGGCCTTTCTGCTCCCGAGGTTGAGGTTTTCTCTCTTGCAACTGGGTGTTGGAGGACCCTTGATCATGGCATTGCTCCTGTCTGCTACGTTGCTAGAGATACTCCCCCTGGATTTCACGATGGGCTTGTTCACTGGGTTGCCAAACGCTACGTGGCTGGTGGATGGTACAATTTTGTTTTGTCCTTTCACTTTGAGGGTGAGATGTTTCGTGAAGTTATGCTGCCAGAGAGCTTGGCTCGTCGTACCTCTTGGGGTATGATTAAGGTTGTTGGGGGTGGCAATGGGAAGACACTTACTGTGTACGATGTGGATGGGGGTTCTCCATGCTCTTGTAACATTTGGATGATGAAAGAATATGGTGAGGTGGAATCTTGGAAGAAGGCCTTTTCTTTTCTTATGAGCGGATTTTGCTTGGAAGCACCGTCTTTGGGAATGATGCTCACTGACGTGGAAATTCCACCGATGGAATTGTGTGTTACGTGCAGTGGAGAGGTGTTGCTGCTAGTGGATGTGGCAGGAAGGAGATGCCTGTATTCGCTGGACATAAAGAAGAAAAGTTTTACGGACCTTTACGGACTTCGAATGAAATAGGCGCAGGGTTTGTTTATTGTGGTTATTATGCTGAGAGCTTACTTTTACTGAACATAGCAAGTGGTGTAGTTTCTTATTGAAGGGGTAACGACATTCCAATCTGATACTTATGCAGTGTATGTTATCATTGACTTATCACGTCTACGTTTATTTTCCACACATTTTGTTGCTTTCTCGGTGGGATTAAACCATTCCAAGTACAAGGAGTGTAAACCAAGTCTTTATCTTTGTTTCGTGTTTGTGGATTCCAAGTACCCAACGGTTTACTGCGAATACGATACCTGTTAGTATGTTTTGCTTGCTTTAAATTCTAAAAGAATTTTGTCTGTAAACTATTCGAGGTGGTGTTAACTCAGTTTTTTTCATCATTATAATGTTTGTCTAAATTATGTCAGTTTGTTGTTGAGCAATATGAGATTTGTCTACCAAACTGTCATTATATTTGTAGTCTTGAATGGCTTGCGGTTTTGTTATGTTTATCATTACAATGAAAATAAAAAATGGGGAAGGTTAAGGAATAACTAGAAGGAATAACTAGGGAGTGAAATCTGATGGCAATCGTGAAACATTGCTCAGGAGAATTTTGTCTGTTGTCTATCCTAATTCCCTGACCACTATGAAACAGTCATGTGCATAATTTTTCTAGTTTGAGATTTCGCATTCAGGGAATGTGGAACGTGCATTTATGTCTGTATATCTGTTTATTTAAGGACACAGAGGGTTCTTTTAACAATTATGGAAGTGTTCTGGTAGTCAAGCGACTGGTCCTACAACATTAGGCAGGCTTTTGTAGTTGCTTAATATCCTTATATACTTGCCTATTATGGTGATACGTTGTTGACATTTATCAGCTAATTACTAAACTATGATAGTTTTTTTCTTTTGTGTATAGTATTTAGTGCAGAAATAGTGTTTAAAAATATTACATTATATTGCTTGGCTAAATTCCCTGATGGGATGCTTGTAGGAGTATAACATTTAGTAGAATAAACACGTTGATGTGATACTTAAATTTTGAGGCGTTTTCCATCTAGTGGACTAATTTTTGGATTGGACTATGCTCTCATGCTTAAGTCCTAATGATTGGTACTCTTGTTAAGAGTTGAACTACGAAAATGGCTACCTATAGGATAAATTAAGGTGCAACAAACCAAATACTAGTGGGCAATACTTTTTAAATTGATCAAGGTACTAGTTTAATAATATTTTTTATGTGATGACAAATGATTGTTGTACTCTTAGTTCAGATGAAATGTCAAGATACATAATGATGTTTAATATGATTTGAAATAAAAATAAAAATAAAAAACTGATCAAGGTATTAGTTAAAATTTAATTCTTATTTCGGATGGAAACAAATATACAAAATAATATTAAAACCAAAATTTACAGGTTCTTAGTATTTAAAATGTGTAAAGTTTAAATAAAATGAGTATCATACTTAATCAAAACTTTCTATAATATTTATTAATAATAAGTTTATAAGTAGAATAAAAAATAAAATCACTACTATGTCAGTTGAACTTGTTGAGAAAAAGAAGTTGAAATGGTATTTATTGTTTTCTTTTGTTGAATTGATTTTACCGATCTGACAGGTTATGCTGGTTTAATATTGGTTTTGTGTTTCACCTATTTTGCACAGCAGCTGAATCAGACAGGGGAACGGTTCTTGTTGGAAGCAGCTTCTCCAAATCGATTTGATAACCATGCTAATAGGTGAGTGAAGCTGTAAAAGAAATAATATCTTTGGATGAATATGTTTGGAATTTCATATTAAGTAGAATAAATTGCTTGAACTATGCTTAAGGCTTAAAACTCTACTCTAATGAACTAGTTTTTTTTTTTTTTTTTTATTTATTTATTTATTCTTTTTAATTTGACTGCTTTCTGTGCTTCTAACACGGTACCTTTTGCTGGTGCCTTATTTTTTGTTTCTTTAATTAGCATATTTCTTACTAATTTTTTGTCTACGTTTTGTAGGCTTTTTAATGTTCAATTCGTCATAATCATATTTGTTGCTTGCATTAACTGTGTATTTTTCTTTACTTCAAGAATTTATATATCATTGCTTGATAATAGTTATTTTTTGCAGAAATTTCATCAGACAACCTTCAAAGCCGGAGCATCCTTGAGTTTCGCAGTGCCTGTTGTGTACTTGTGTGAATTCAGGTTGTTTTATTTTTGAATTCCATTTAAAAATTTATGGTAATGGCAATAACTATTAATATGAAAAGTTCTGAAATAATCTTTTGAACTACAAAAGATGAACCTTTTCGAAAATGATTTATTTTTGCAGATGATGTTGAGATATTTGTTGCTTTGACCTTGAATTTCAAATAGAGGGCATTGCTTTGCATCACTAACAATGTGAGTTTTTGTATTCAATTTTGTTCATACTTCGGATTAAATTTACTTCACCTAAAGTTGAACAAAGATTTTATTAAAAAATAAACTTTAAGTCTAATCCAACTTTATAAAAATAGATTTGTAAGATGAGATTTGCATGTATTTATGTATTTTGAATTAGTTATATTTCTAGTTAATGTGAGATTTTCAACATATTTCTTAAAACTAAGGTATATACATATCAAACATAGAACTAGACATTAATAGTTAGTCTAGGGTGAAATAATATATCTAACAACTAACAAATATCGTTAATATATTATTTAATAATGACTTTAAGTCTAATTTAACTTCACAAAACTAGTTTATAAGATAAGGTTTATATTTATTTATATATTTAAAATTAGTTTTATTTTTAATCTATATGTGTTGAAAGTAACTTTTAGGAAGAGTATATTTTGTCTTTAAAATAAGTGACAATTTTCTTTTGTATGTATGGAATGTTTTTTTATTTCTAAATACATTAATTTTTGGTCAAAATGTTCAGAGTTTAATTTTTGTGCACTGTTTGAAAAAAATTGACGTTAAAAAGATTAAAGATGAAGATAATTGTGGCTAGAAAGGTCTTGTTTTTAAAGAAAAGAATATTTATTCTAATGTTTGAATTTGTATTTCTCTTATCTGTAAGAATTTAAACACCAACTTGATCAAATACTTGGGATTGGGTTTGGGCCAGGTTGAATATGGATCTGACAGTTGCATTAAATTCCTCCCATTCAGCATTTTCTTCATGCCCTCATAATTTCTAACTGCACCCTAAATCTTCCTAAAAATTATTTTCGGATTATCTGTTTCAAAGATTTTTCAGAACAAGCTTTCTACAACATTCGGAACACGAAAAACATATTCTAATTCTTTTTTCCATAAACCTGTCAAAGAATGTAGGAGAGAAAGGAGGCGTACAGTAACAATGGCAGTAACGTTATGTGTGCAGGAAGGTATTTTAATCTTGAGTACCGTATTATACGCTGTTTTTTTTAATACAAAGTGAAAATATATGTATCACATAAGCGTAACCACTGTTAAAATAACTTTTTTCTTTAATCTCTTTATATTAATATGAGATACAATTAATAATAATGGGACAGGAAGAAAATACCTTTCCATTCTCTTATCAGTGTTAAATATATATCAGGAGTTCACCAAGTTTATAAGTTTATAGGATGGAATTATTTAAATATTTATTGTTAGAATGTATGTAAATATTTTCGTTAAATCACTTATGTACAAATATTTAAACTTAAATAATTTAAAGTTTTTATATATAATAATTGTTACGAATATCACACGATTATTGATTAGAGGAAATTTTTTTAATAAAGAATTATGAGGGATGTCCATTTGTGTCAAAGGAAATCAAACTCCTTGGCTGAAATCTTTCGGCAGTTGAAAGAACTATTTGGACTCTAAATGATAGAACTGCGTGTTAAATATGGAACAGAACCTGTTACCAAAGAGAAAAAGGTAAAAATATTAATTAAGTTCATACAATGAAGTTTCTAATATACTAAATATTTGTGTTTTTTTTAATATATTAAAAGCCTTTGTTTCTTCATACAAATTGTTTCAATTTTCGATATTAATTTTTTAATCCATTTTCTTCTTAGGAACAAAAAAAAATTACCAACAAAGAAAAATAAGCATATACATAAAATATGGACATATTTAAATAATGATATTTTGACACACAAAATTTTAATATACATTTGACACAATTTTTTTTATTTATTTTTTACTTTTTTTCAAAAAAAAATATAAATATTGTATGTTAAATAGATGTAAAATTGTATCTCGTTACCATTATTTTTTTAATCTACGTTTGTATTGACCTCCTTAGTATGAAAATAGTTTCTGCATTGAATTTGATGTGAAAAATTTAAACATAAAAAAACACAAACTCAAACACGCTGTCTATTTGTAGTTACATTAGAGGTGCAATGATTTAGGTGGAAAATGGGAAAAGTAGTGGAAAGAGAAATCAAATTTTGAAACTGAAGTTTTTTACATCACAATCAGGACGTAGACGGATACCAAGAGAGGTTTGAGTAATTGAGTTTTTGTTTTCTGAGAATAGGAAATTTAGATTTCAAAATAATAATAATAATAATAATAATAATAATAATAATAATAATAATAATAATAAAGAGTGAATGATTTCTGTGGTGTTGTTTTTAAGTACCTTAGCATTGAAGTGAGTGAGAATGAAGAATGGCCAATACTAACTCCAAATTCCTGAAAGAACATAAAGCACACAGTGTCACTTCACAATCATAACGTGTCAATTATGGCAATAATATGACTCATTTGTCAACAACCTTTTTGCTTAGATAGATGTTAGATCCGGCTACTACAATATATACCTATACAAAAATATATGCAATAATTCAATCTCAAATCCACTGCTTTCAAAACAAATAATCCCAGGAGGCAACAAGCATGTTGCAGACAACATCATTAGGAATCAAATACGAGTACAAGAAAACTACAAAGACAAACCAACAAAACTCTCACCCCAAAATCAACCAGTCAAGAAACCAAAAACATTATTCAACAACCATTCTTCCTTCGGGATTATCCCTTTTTTCATTATTAAATCATTCCACTAAATTAGTTTATTCATTACAATATGACTAAAGTTTTATTCCATTGTTCAAACTTCCTTATCAAAACCTCTTACACTGACTACAAGATTAAAGCGAGTTAATCTTGATACATATATTCTATCATCTAATTCAATAATCATGAGGTGGTTCTCATCTCACATCAATTGAACCACCATGTCTCCCTCCTTTTTAATGCTCACATCTGGCCCCATACTTATGCATCCACTTCATTCTCTTGCTTAATCTTTCAAACTTACCTTCATTTTGATGCTGCTCTAATTACTTTCATTCTCTTACTTCATGCTTCGTTCACACAATCAAAAAAGTTATCTTCACATAATATGCTGTCAAGTGTATAAGCAAAAAGGGTTTTTTTTTGTACTCAAAATAATACATATATAGAGTTTGGCCTCAACCTTTTTTTATTCACAAGAAAAGTAAATATACAAAAAAAACTGAACTTTTCTTACTATTGGCATACCCTTATGTTCCATGATAATCCTTTTTTTTTTGGAGTCAAAAGTTGCATCATAATTTGTTGCAATGGGTTGCTCTCATGCACCTTCACAAGACTACAGGTGGGGAAGCTTTCATAAATTTCCACATATTGGCCCATCTTTTGCGTTTGACAGTCCTTATCAACAAAAACTTTGGGTCACCCAAACACGTCTCAATTTCTTTCAGATTTCAAGACCCATCAATTAAACCCTCATCTCTATATGCTGTAGATTTGTCGCAAGCAAGATCGCTACATGTGTCTTTCTCTTACATCATGCCTCTTTCGATTCATGTTATTTTTAGTTTTTGCATAACATTCAAGTATCATCACATAATATCTCGTTTTAGCCTATAGTAATACCTAACACGCTATGCCGAATCCTTTTAGTTAAAAAGAAAAAGATGAGTATGATCGGTAAATATAATTTATCTGCTCTACTGATAGAGTTGTAGCTTTTTAAGGTACTATTGCGTCATTCTAATTTGACACAGCAACAAAAAGTGCTTATGTTATAGCATTTCTTCCACATGCAACGCATTTGCTTACGGAAGCTATATAATTCTGGTTCAATCTAACATCATGATCTCCACTGTTTACTCTATCTGTTTATGTTTTATATACTTTTTTCTTGTCTGTTTTCATTTTTTATTCAATGAATCTCACTAGACATTTTATTAGTTTCAGTAAAACTTAATTAATAATTAAAAAGGTGTCATAAGAAAATGCATTATATAGTAAATTTCCTCTACCTAATAAAGTGCACTTTGAATAAGAAACTTAAATTCTCACATGTCATTGTTTCTCTAATAAAATGCATTACATTTTCACTGTGAAGCAGTATACCACATGCATGGTCATGGATTAGTTCAGAAACACGGTGCTACTGTGTCCATTAATGAAAAACCTGCACTTTCCTTTTTGTGTGGCAAGTGTGGAGCAAATTTTTGGTAACCCTGTAGATCATAGTGGTGTTTTCTTTGGAATCAGCTAGGAAACAAAAGAGCATGATGGTTTAAGATCATCATCATCATCATGGACCAGCTTCGGAGCCCATGTAAAAACAAATTAATTTCAATGTTTACAACAGTAGAAAAACCAGGTTTTGTATGCAACAACAAGCAACCCATGTTACTGTTTTAAACGTTGTCTTAATTATTGCCTTTTAATTTAAAGCTACACAACTTTACTCTGCAAACATCACATGGTATATAGATTTCTTGATTGTCAATATTATACTAAACAACTCCTCATTTCACTCGTGCCATGTATATATCTTTTGTTGACTTAGTTCCTCGTGCAATCATATGTAGAACCCTGACATAGAAACTTCATTTGGATGAGGAAGAGAAAAAGAAGACAAACTTGTTATGGTAGTAAATCTGTGCAGTGAATAAATTTGAATTATCACAGAACGAGTTGCCTACAGCAACTAAAGGAAGATAATGAAGTAATCCAGACAAACAGCAAATTTTTCACCTGACAAGGCAAATTCATATTCATATATACAACAATCAGAGAACTTACAAACTCATTTTGTAGGATGGATTTAAATTTAAAATCTACTTCTTAGATGATATCATCATCATTCAAAACCTAATTTGTTGTTTGTTAAGTTTATCTTATGACTTGTTATCGGACTACGATTAATATAGTCTTATGGAATATATATATTTTTATACAAAAGATGGATGATAAAAATCTCACATCGAATAAAAATAAAACAAATTCACATAT